GGAATGACTTGATCACAAAGGGCTTTGAGTGCCATCCATAGGAAGCTAGACATTTGTTTGTTTACCCATCCACTTTATAAGTGGAATTAGTAACATGAATAGGTCTGATCTTCGGGAAGATTTGTTTGACATAATGTACAGAATGGATTGAATTGACTGAAGACTGCAGAGGAGACCATTCGCGTGCTGTTGTAGTCGTCCAGATGAAAGGCAGTGAGGGTTTGGATGAGGGTACTGGCAGTAAAAATTGAATGAAAGATCTTTGAGGCCCTTAGAAATAGAAAGTTGGAAGATCTTGGATGTAGATTTTATGTGAGGAGCAAGGGAAAGAAAGGAGCTGGGGAAGATTTCAGCACTCTGCCCTAAGGCACTGGAAGATATGATGTCATTAACAAAGAGAAAAGAGGAAAGAGACATTGAGTGTGATAGGCCAGGCAGCTGGGGCTGCCTGGTGGACAGTTAGAATGTGGGCATGGAGTTTAGGAAAGAAACTGAAACTAGAAATGTAGATTTGAGAGACACCTTCCCAAATGTTATAGTTGAAGCCATGGACTTAGATGAGACTGTGGGGAAATGAAAGCTAAGTGATTCAAGTATATAGCTTGGAATGAATGAATGAATGAGAAAAAACAAGTATACAACTTGGAAAATTCCTGCATATGCGGTGCCGAAGGAAGGCGAGTCAGTCATAGAGGCAGCAAAGGAATACGCTGCAAAGGGTAAGAAACCAGTAGAAGGAAATGGCCTTGAAATCAAAAGCAAAGAAAGTTTCCAGAAGAGTGTTCAGTTCGCTTTAGATGCTGCAGAGAGAGACTAAGGAAGATGAAGATCAATGATTTACATTCTTGCCATTCCATATGTATATGACTAACTGGTAACCAGCTAACACACAACGATGGTCATCATTTTCTGTTTAACAAACGTTGCTTTTGTGCACTAAAATTACTTAAAGGTGTGTACTTCTCATTTGTTAAATAGACAAAAGATGCATCGCAGGCAAAGTGGTTGTTCCCTGGCTGCCAAACACACAACGTACGCACACACCCCTACATACACACCCCTACATATACACCTGGGGTTATGTTGCTAGACTGTATTGTAAGACAGACAGTTTCACGTGCTTTCTCCTTCCATCCAGAACTTAAACATCTATGCAATGTATTACTCTCCTGGGACATCCAGAAAAATTCCAGTAAATAGGAGATTTGGAAAATAAATATATCACATATAAAATTATGTTAAGGATACACTTCAACTGCCTGGTTGCCAAAGCTTTAGGATTGCTACCACTACAGTGAGAATACAAGTTTATGAGATGGAGCAGCAGCACATTAAGCTGTGCTGTTAGAGTCTCTTCAACTGTTCCCACTTTTGGTATTTTTATTTTATTTTGAAGTGTCTTAGTCCGTTCTGGCTGCTCTAACAAAATACTGTAGACTGGGTGGCTTAAATAAGAAAAATTTATTTCTTGTAGTTCTGGAGGCTGGGAAGTCCAAGATTAAGATGCCAGCAGTGAGAGAGCTCTCTGGGGTCCCTTTCATAAGAGCACCAGTTCCATTCATGATGTTTCTACCCTCATGTCCTAACCCCGCCGTGGGCAAACTACGGCCCGCGGGCCGGATCCGGCCTGTTTGAAATGAATAAAACTAAAAAAAAAAAAAAGACCGTACCCTTTTATGTAATGATGTTTACTTTGAATTTATATTAGTTCACACAAACACTCCATCCATGCTTTTGTTCCAGCCCTCCGGTCCAGTTTAAGAACCCATTGTGGCCCTCGAGTCAAAAAGTTTGCCCACCCCTGTCCTAACCTCTTAAAGACACCTCCTCCTAATACCATCACGTTGGAGGTTAAAATTTCAACATGTAGATTTTGGAGGGGACACAAGCATTGAGTTCATAACATGGAGTAATGCTGCATTTGGGGAACTATTAATTTGTCACCAGAAAATGTTTTGCTTTACTTTTTTATAAAAACATGCTGCACATGTTAAACTTCATTTGGAGTCAGAATCAGTGATTTTTTTACTGGTTATATATCAGGGTTTGTAATAAAAATTTGGGGGAACATATAAATCATTTTACATAACCTATTTTTCCCCAGTAAGCTACTAAATACATTAATTTAGGTAATGGGGGTATAATTGTAGTCAATTTTGTTATTCTTATCCTACCTCAAGATAACTTAAGGAATGAAAATAATAAATTAGTTTCTCACTAGCTCTTGATTAGAGCTACAGAGTGAGCTTTTTAAAGCTGCAGCAATAATTGGCTTAAAAATAGATTCAGAAATGCATTAAGTATGGACTTTAACAAAACTGTAAAAAGCTTAAAATAACTTACCTACTGCTTTCATGCCTGTGCTTTAAGATGTGCTTAAGGACTCAATTTTTTTCATGTCAACATTCTAAACTCACATTTATATTTTGTTTTTCAGTGGGAAGCAGTGAGGTATATTTTGAATAAGATGGCTCTCAGATTATAGCATTGATATTTTGTTTTATTTGTTTATAGCTGCTGGGTGAACTGATCCTGGATAGACACAACTTTGCCATTATGACAAAGTACATCAGCAAGCCAGAGAACCTCAAACTGATGATGAACCTCCTTCGAGATAAAAGTCCCAATATTCAATTTGAGGCCTTTCATGTCTTTAAGGTAAAGTGTAAGCTACAGAAATAAAGTGGGCATTTATTTTCCAGTTTCAAGTGGCAAACTCCCTACTTTTTATTCTCCTTTATACTTGAGAAAAAATTAAATAGGCAGTCTTTTGTTTTGCATGACTTAGGTGAAATTTTAGAGTTATATTAATGAATGCCCATTTCTTTCTAAAAGGTTTCTAACTAATCCATATCTCTAAATATTTTCTTTTTTTATTAAGAAAATAGGTAGATACTGTTTCCTAAAAGTTACTAAAATAATCAGTGACTGAGCTAGAACGCAAATCCTGAGTGTGAGAATTTGAATGCTTTGCTTTCTGCCTTAAGTATTTCTCTGAACCTTAAATGAAGCAATGAAGAAATACTTGCGTACTACTCACTTTTTTTACTTATTCATAAATATTTTTGTAAATGCATTTTCCTATGAAAGAAAGCTACCCCTGGTAATACCTGCTATCTCTTCCTAATACTTTTTTCATTAGTACCCTATATAATAAAACCCTAATATGCAAATCGACCAAATGGTGAAATGACTGGCAGAACAACTGGTTGCTATGATGTGCACTGACCACTGGCAGCGGTGTTGGGGGCCAGGGCCAGCCAGTGGGCAGTGCCAGGCTGCTGGCCAAGGTGGGTGCCAGCAGGGACGCCCTGATCACCACACCTACAAGTCGCCCCACAGAGCACGCTGATCGCGGGCCAGGCCTAGGGACCCTGCCCAAATATTGGGAACAATCTCTTAGATTTAAAAATTAAAACCTGGCAAGGCTACTCTAACACTGAAAAAACAGGATGAGGCAGTGATGACATACATGGACTCTGGCTTGCATATTTTGTGGTCACTACTGATTCTGACACTTATAACTGTGTGACAAAGCCAATTATTTAACTTTTCTCTGCTTCAGTTTTTCCACCCATAAGATGGGGAAAATGGTACCACTGCCTCAGAAGGATCATGTTATGTACTACTTTTTATAATCAGGGCAAAAAATGTAGCTGCCCATACAACAGCAAGATGCCTTTCACCTGTATGAAAGTATGGTCACTGGTGCATACAGCGTCCTGGATTGTGAGAGAGATGTCTGACTGCTGGTTTAGGCCTGTGGGGATCGGGTCTAAACTGGCAGTCGGACATCCCCCAAGGGCACAGGCTGGCCTGAGGGCCCTCCACCCCCCCGCAAGTGCACGAATTTTGTGTCCTGGGCCTCTAATAAGTAATAAAATGGCCTCCTAGAAACTTTAGACAATAGATTTTTATAGATTATGGTTGATGAGAAAAATCTAATCTGTAATCCCATACTCCTAACTATTGTAAAGATTTTAGTAAATTTTATTTTCCTGTGCACATATTTGAAGGGTTTTTTTTCTACAGCTGTATTCACATTGTATACGAAATTCATATCCTGATTTTATCACTGAATGCCATAACATCAGTAAACTTTAATTCATTACCATTATATGTCATTTTTAGAGCTAGTAGTTTTATTGGTATCATAGTTTATCATTGGGTACATTTATTTTAGTTTACTTAAATATTCCTACAGGCTAGGTGGGCTTTTTTTAGTCTTTATAATATATGTTCATTAATTGAATTTATCAGTCTATACATGGACACATGGCAGTTTATAAGATACTAGAGGCCCGGTGCACAAAATTTGTACATGGGTAGGGTCCCTAGGACTGGCCAGCGATCAGGGCTGATCTATGGGGTGACCGGTGGGGCAATCGGGGGGAACCCCCTGCTGGCACCCACCTTGGCTAGGCTGGCACCACCCACTCACTGGCCCTGCCCCCCACTGCCACCACTGGATGGGGCCTGCAGGCTGGGGGCACCGTTCCTGCATTGAAGCATCTGCCCTCTGATGGTCAGTGTGTATCATAGCAACTGGTCGTTCCGCCAGTCATTCCACCATCCAGTCGATTTGCATATTAGGCTTTTAGGATATAATTGTTGCTCTGAGAGGTAAAAAAAAGTTTTAAACCATCTTTCAGCCACCAGATCTTCATTGTCCAAAAAGTCACTAGAGCAATTTAAACCCAAAATTAATTTATAAATTCCATTCAATTACATTCAAAATTCCAACAGGAATTTTCCTGGAACTTAACAAGCTAATTCAAATTATTAGCTTTGTTATTTTTGTGTGTTTTGGGGTTTTTTTGTTACTTTTGTGTGTGTGTGTGTGTGTGTGTGTG